ACATTCTTGCCTAAAGCACTGAGTGAGTCAAGACTTCCACTGGTGCCCATTTAAAAAAGAGAAGGAAAAAAGCGCATGACACCACTATTTCTTATATATCTTTTGCCTTTGGTCCATACTCCTCTCTGATCCCTCAATCATAAATCTGTCAGCTAACTCGGCCTCCGTTCTCCTCTCCCTATAACCTCTTTTCTCTTCACACACGCATCTCTTCGCTCCTTCCCATTATCTTCCTCTGAGGCCGAGTGAGAGAAAAGGACAGAGAGAAGTGTCTAAGGAGAAGGGGACCGGTGAAAATAAAGTGGATCGGAGAGGCCGAGACCAAGATGAGAAAGAGGAAGAGAAATGAAAGAAGCTTTGGGTTTCATAAGGTTACAGACAGAAGGAGAAAGATTAATTTCAAGGTGTGCTGAGGAACGAGACAGATGGAGAAGTAAAGCAAGAAATGTAATGACTCACGGCAGAGGGAGAGCAGAACGAGGGATCGCAGCAGGAGGGATGGAGTGGAGGAGAGGAGGAGAGATCGCTGGCCTCGTCTCATTGTGTATTGAGGCTCGGTAGCTGATCAATGAGGCCTCTGTGGTTGATGACTGCACAATTCAGCACACGCTACACAGCTGAAACCGCAGCAAAATTACTACACTAAACACCAGTGCTCTTTAAGTGCAGGGTTAACTAAATCACTTTAGCGGCTGCATTTTAATCCTCAAGCAACTAATATCACATGCGATAACAACCAACCGAAGGCGGCTAATTAAAACAATCCTCCACATTCAAGAGTAAAAAGAAAATCCTATCGTGTGGCAATTTCCACACTTAACTTTGCCGTCGAACCACTTATTAGCACTCAAAGACTAAGCTCAAATATTGCAAACACTAATGGAGTAGCCACTTTTAAATAATATCATACTTGTTATGCATAAGGCTGTTGTGTTTATATCTGAAACGGTAGCCGACTAACCACATCACAGATTTGAATCCTACAAAAGCTTTCGCTTATAAAATTCTTGTTTTTCTCCTAACACCTGGTCTGGTTTTGTGAGTTTTTTTTCTCTTTCGTGGTGAGGCAGAGCCTGCTAAGATTCACTTCGTCATAACGCAAACAGACCCTGGCTCTCTGAAACAATCATAAATCAATGCGCTATCTAGTCTGCCAACTGTTTTCACCAGATTTGAAATGAGTATTTAAACTGTAAGAAGTTAAACTACCTCATTTGCGCGACTTTAGAAAGGGCTGCATGCAACAATGGAAGTACAGGTAGGCGATTAATTATGTGTTTTGCGTCGTATAACCAAATCTATAACCAGTCTGAAATGGAATTGAAGTTGAGATTGGATACTGCACATCTATGTATGAAATATTAAAAGGTTCTGCTCTAAAACACTGAAAACCATGTACAGTAGGAACTTGCAGGAATGGCTCAGAAGTCCAGAACGATCCCTAACAAAGAGCTATGTGTTATTTCACCATGTGCGCAGGTGTCTTAAAGCCCAGAACAGCCGATCATACTAGTGTTCTAAGAACATCGGCACAGCCGGGATCCTTACTAACACACACAGTGATTGGCAGGGCTGATATTCACTGTGTGGGAGCACAACTTCAGATCTGTGCCTCAGGTAACTGCCTGATTCCATTCGATTTTCCCCAAAGTCGTCACAACTTCCCTACTTCCACCAAGGTTGATTCAAAGTTAATCCATCTCTCCTTTCCTTTCTTCCTTCTCTCTCTTTCTTGAGCTGTCCATCGGTGGAAGGTCCTCTAATTCTTGCTAGTATTGTTTATTTTCTTTCTCGTCTTCTACTCGTAGTCCAAAACTCCTTGAGTAATCTGCTTGCTGTTGGTATAACCTCTCTTGAAACTGCACAGACACAATTTGGGAGAGAACCCTCGAATATATACTTGAGTGTGTGCGTGCTGGCAGATGCATATCCCACATATCGTTATTTTGGTAAAGGGCAGGGGAGGGTAAGAGTCCATAATAGCACTCATTCAGAAAGCAAAACAATCAGTCAGTCAGTGAGCTTCGTCTTTCAGTCTCACTTCTACAGTTGGTTGTGTTTTGCTAAAGCTCTCTGGGTCTTCAGCTTCTTTCTGATCAGTCTTTATCTGTCTGGCACACAGAGCGTGTTCACAAGGTCACGAGGGAATGTTCTAAATGAATGCGTTTTGTTTTGCTGTACATTCTGTACTATACTAAGCTGTGTGCGCATAAATGTGTGTATTCATGTGTGAACAGTATCCAGTGTGTGCATAGGGGACTAAGGGAGAGGATAGCAAGATTGTATGAATGTGGACAGACTAGTCAATTATTTGATTGATTCAAAGGAATTCAATCAAGGTTCTGCATAAAAAAAAGTCCATCATCCATCCATATATACATCTACCTGTCAATCTACCTACCTACCCATCCATTCATCATCCTATCTATTCGTCTACCCATCTATCCGCCTAACCATCCATCCATCATCTACCCATCTATTCGACTACCTACCAATCCACCCCATCCATCCATTTACCTATCTACAGTGGATAGAAAAGATCATTTATAATAAAATAATCACATTTTGTTGCTTTGCAGCCTGAAATGAAGACGGACACAGTTTTTGTTTTATCCGGCTGTATTTACTCAGTGCAAATTATAACATCCAAGTGAAAGATTTAACACCAACATGTCAGAAAAAAAAAAAACTGAAACACCGAGTTGGAAAAAGGATCACCCCCTTGTGTCAGTATTTTGTTGAACCACCTTTTGCTATTTATTTATTCAGTTATTTACACTGTTAAAGAGTTGGATTCTCAACTTTCACTATGGCCAAAGTTTCAAAAAAATTACTTGGACGTATGACGGAGTATTTCTGTGCCATATACACTCCTTCTGGGTTCAAATAAGTTTCGGAAAGTTTTTTCAAGCATGGCTCTTCATGACATCATGAAGGGGAGAATTCCTTGTATGGAATTCCCCACTGTACCTATCCCCCTACTTATCTACCTACATATCCACCAATCCATCCATCTACCTATCTATCCATCCATCCATATAAACATCCACCTGATCTACCTACCTATCTATCCACCTGTCCATCCTACATACCCATCCTACATACCCACCTAGTGGTTTAACAACCACTACGGTATGCTGTATAAATACATGTGTGTGTGTGTGTGTGTGTGTGTGTGTGTGTGTGTGTGTGTGTGTGTGTGTGTGTGTGTGTGTGTGTGTGTGTGTGTGTGTGTGTGTGTGTGTGTGTGTGTGTGTGTGTGTGTGTGTGTGTGTGTGTGTGTGTGTGTGTGTGTGTGTGTGTGTGTGTGTGTGTGTGTGTGTGTGTGTGTGTGTGTGTGTGTGTGTGTGTGTGTGTGTGTGTGTGTGTGTGTGTGTGTGTGTGTGTGTGTGTGTGTGTGTGTGTGTGTGTGTGTGTGTGTGTGTGTGTGTGTGTGTGTGTGTGTGTGTGTGTGTGTGTGTGTGTGTGTGTGTGTGTGTGTGTGTGTGTGTGTGTGTGTGTGTGTGTGTGTGTGTGTGTGTGTGTGTGTGTGTGTGTGTGTGTGTGTGTGTGTGTGTGTGTGTGTGTGTGTGTGTGTGTGTGTGTGTGTGTGTGTGTGTGTGTGTGTGTGTGTGTGTGTGTGTGTGTGTGTGTGTGTGTGTGTGTGTGTGTGTGTGTGTGTGTGTGTGTGTGTGTGTGTGTGTGTGTGTGTGTGTGTGTGTGTGTGTGTGTGTGTGTGTGTGTGTGTGTGTGTGTGTGTGTGTGTGTGTGTGTGTGTGTGTGTGTGTGTGTGTGTGTGTGTGTGTGTGTGTGTGTGTGTGTGTGTGTGTGTGTGTGTGTGTGTGTGTGTGTGTGTGTGTGTGTGTGTGTGTGTGTGTGTGTGTGTTGGTAACATTAACACACCAACTAGTTGACTACTTTTCTGGATGACTCCTGACTACGTCTCTACACAGCCACGTCCATCTGTGTAAAAAATTGTTACTTTTGTTTAGGCACAGATGTCATTTAACTTCATCTTCTCACTCTTATTATGCTTTATTACTGCTGATGCAGCTGTGTGTGTATTCATTACAGTTGTGTGCAGCACGAGTCCACTTTCCTGTTCCTCTATCCTCATTTGCATCCCAATCATTTCATTTTTCATTGGCATCACACCAGACCCAGTGTTGCCAAAACACTTAAGGGACATGACTTAACAGTTGCATGAGGGTAATGTTAAAAACTCATGCATGCCTCATACACACTCTGCGGCTCGTGATACCATAGACATTAAGGCTCTTAAAAGTTAATCCAGCACCAACGGTTCAGTCCAGGAAAGCCCGAGGCTGCAGGTGGGTTTGTGGGTGTCCGTGGGTGCAGGAATCCTGGTGCATCAGCAGAAAAGGTGCAGGGCATTTTTGATGCACTGATCCTATGTTCTGCTTATCACAGATTAAATTTATGTTTTGTCCTTCAGGCTATATAATAATGCATGTGGGTGGGGGAGTAGTGAATTTAAGTCTCTTGGAGGAGAAGAAGGGTGTAGAGTAAGAGCGAGAGAGAGCGAAACGAGTGCGCATGGCCATCAGTTTGTGTGTGGAAGACTTTCTTGGCACTCTTTCTCTCTCTCTTTCCTTCTGAGTCTTGTTGTTTGTTAGTGCCAGGCTTTTATGCCAAGCCGGCAGCCATTACTCAATCAGACAGCTTCCTGTGAGCTCTTCTCATTAAAACCTCACACGAACTCAAAACCTATGAGCACAATTATCAACCTTTATACAAACACACACACAAACCCGGAGGCGCACGCACACAGTTGACTCACAACGAAAATATAGACTAAACAGAAATCCAAGTCCTGCCGAAGTCTCAATTTGTGGGACGCTATTAAGGCACTTGGAGATTAACTAACCCCAGTCACCCCTACACACAGGCCATTTACAGCACTGAACAGCTAAAATACCCCTCTTAGAGCAACAGCACTGTAACACTCGGTCTGAACTGAACGCTCCGAATCATTTCCATTATAATGAAGCTGTCAACACTGAAGCTTTTACTAAAAATAAAAATAAATCTGCTGCACTACAGAGCTGCTCCAGTCAAATTATTAACCGTTTGCCAGAAATAAAATTCATTTTCTTAAAAATATCACGTGAATGTGATTGTTCTGCTATGAATTGTATTACTAATGAATGTTCTGACCATTGTATCAACTTAAACTTGATCTTTATGTTCTCAGATTCTTTTAAAACAGAAAAAAAGATTATACTTATCAGATTATATTTTTTATAATTCAACTTTTAAATATATTTTAATATATTTCGTAAGTTTTAAAGTTCTTAGCTTTCAGTCTTCAGTGTCACATGATCCTTCTGAAAACTTTAAATTATTAAAAAAAATAACTTAAAAAATATATATAATATGCTAATCTGGTGCTCAAGTAATTGGTGCACTTCTGCACAAAAACACAAATCAGTGAATAGTTTCTGTTTAAATTTCCCGAATGAACTGATTCACTAAAATGAATCGGACTTATTTTCATTTGATCATTGCCTCAGCCCAGTAGGCTGTAAACCTGCATGTGAGATACAGTGTGACAAATATGATGTAGCTGTTTTGCCACGCTACAAATGCTACATATCCCCTAGTAGCTTGTTACTAAAAAAGCAACATTATTAATATGATAAATTGCTCATGATATTCCTCATTTGTAAGTTTGTTCGGATAAAACATCTGGTAAATGATTAAATGTACTCGAAATATAAGATACTCTACCATGCAATGTCAAAATCCCCACCAATTCTAAAACTGAGAAAAATAGCTTTTTGATTGAAATATGATTGATTTGATCAATATTCAATTGATATTTAATATCAGTTGTCACATTTTAACATTTGTGCATTTGCCTTTGCACTGCAGTACGGTCAGGTTAGAATTGCTACTTTCAGCTAGTAAGTACACACTCCTGCAGAGAGACAAACACACTTGAATAAAGTTGGTCAACAGGAAGCGTGTTCTCGCAGGTTCCGAGAGAGCCGCCGTGTCCTGTTTCTCACCAGGATCAGAGCCTGTTGAGCAGCACTGCATGTTGTTTATCAAAAGGAACAGGAGAACGAGAACGTGATCACCAAACTGTTTTCTTCATCCATTCTCGTCTCGTCCCCATTCCACCAGTTATCTATCAGCCCACAAAGGAACTTTTTTTCTCTATATGATAACATAACCTTCCTTTTCGGTTCCTCTCTGAAAAGTGCCCTTTAGTGTCTCTTTATCAACAGTGTTTCTCTCTCTGTCTATCTCCCTCTCTGTTCACTGCCTTAGACTGTCGCTCTGTCCCTTTCTTTCTAAATAACTCTGTTTTTTTTCCTTCTGTGCCAGTGACCTTACAGCGAGGCTTTGAACCTTGCTCATTCTTCCTCCCTCTCCATCATTCTCTCATTCTCTCCCTCGCACACTCTCTTTCTCTCTCTCTAGAGGAAAATCACACACTCATCAGTTTTCCCCGCTTGGCTCTTGATGAGCAAAGTCACAAGGAGAATATTAATGGACTTCAGCAACCAATTAACACCTAACTCACATAACAACCTTTTATACAAGCCAGCATGCTGGGAAAAGAAGGAGAGAAGGCAACAGAGAGAGTGCGAAATGAAGAGGAAGCCGTTTAATTTGACATTTATGCTGTGAGGATGAAGATGACGGAGGTGTCTGGGAGAGAAAAGCGAAAGACGGAGCACATGATCGTGTTAAAACGAGACCAAGGAGTGGGACGAGGAATCATGGGAAGAAACTGTAATTAATCAAGAGTTGTGCTTCTAGACCTATCCAGACTGTTGAGATTATTAGAGTGATTAAAACGAGTTCATTATTCAACTTGCATAATTAAATTCCAATTCCAATTAAATTAGGAAGAAAAATAATT